TTTTTTTTTTATTAGTTGCTCATGACACTACAATGATCTTGACATATCATACATTTGATTCAAATGGGGTATGAATTCTCATTTTTCCACATGTACAGATTGCAGGATCACATTGGTTATACAGCCACGTATATACATTCAGCAATACTAGTGTCCATTGTATTCTGCTGCCCTTCCTATCCCTACTCTCTGTCCTTCTGATCCAGTTTCTTGACTTTCCCTATTCATTCAGTCCCTGATCCAAATCTGATCCAAATATTTTTGTACTCCAAGCCAGTATTATCCTACTTGGATGTACCATAGATACTTCAAAATCCATGTTTCAAGAAAATGATGTTCATACCTTTCCTATTCTGTCATTCTCTTGAATTCCTCCAACAAACTAGGGAGTACCTCTTTTATTAACTTGGGACTCTCATAATTATGATACCACAGATTGGGCCATTCAAACAATAAAAGTGTATTCTTTCATAATTCTGGAGAGTGGAATTCCAAAAATAAAGTGCCAGCCAGGTTAATATCTGGTGAGGATTCTCCCTTTGTGTTGCCAATGGCTGTGTGCTTATGTATTTGGCATGGGCATGGAGAGGGCAAGAGTGCCTAAGAGAGCTCTCCAGTGTCCCTTCTTACAAGGACACTAACGCTGTTCGATCATACCACTTTTATGACTTCATTTAACCTTAATTACTTCCTTAGAGTCCCTACCTCCAAATGCAGCCACACTAGGGATTGGGGCTTCCGTATTTGAACTGGTAGGGTAGTAGGGACAAACATTCAACCCATAACACTCCTCTTTTGTCTCACCATCTGCATCCAGTAAATCCTTTTATCTCAGTTTCTCAATTGTGGCACTACTGACATTTGGGGCTGGATTATTCTTCAACTGGGGTCTGTCCTGTACATCATAAAATGGTTAATAGTATCTCTCCTTACTTGATTCCAGTACCACCTCCCAGTTATGACAACCCAAAGTATCTTTAAACATTGAAAAATGTCGCTGAGAAGGAAAATGCTTCCAGTTAAAAAAATATTGCTCTAATTTCATCATTACTTGCCTCAGTTATCATTGTAGTTTCTTTAGTATCCCTGTCTTCAAGTTATCTGCAGCCCTCCACACCCCTTTCATTTCTCCATAGTTTCACCAGAGTGATCTTTCCAACATGAAAATCTGTGTCTTTTGGACTCCCTACGTAAAATTCTAGCTTTCCTGATAACATATATTCCTCTTCTCTTTTCTTGTACTGGGGGTTGAACCCAGGGCCTCATGCATGCTAGGCAAGTGATTTACCTCTGGAGCTGCAGTCCCAGCCCAATAACTTAAATCTCTTGAGGATTATGTCTACTTTTTGTGATCTTTCTTCTGTCTTATGGCTCTGCTTCCTTCTCTTTCCTTCCCCTTCATCTCTAAATGTGATGAGAACAGGGATCTAATGCTTCCTTGTCTCTTGGGACAGAGCCTGAGGGATAGTGGCTACTTAGTGAATGCTATGTTTGTGAATGAATATATTATTCCACATTTGAAAGAGGGAGCAAAGTAATGTTCAGGTGTCATGGGGAGAGTGGCTTCCAAGAGACATGATAAAGTTGTGCCTCTATTGGTGAATTTATAACATTCTCATGGTTTTGACTTCAGCCATATGGATCTGGGGCCTTGATTTTCTGTGTAAACTGAGAGTGTATTAATCCCTTGGGAATGACTTTACTGTCTGCTTATGTAGATTAGAATATCATTACATTCATATGTGAGAACTGTTACTGCCAACTACCCTCCAACACTGACAAACTACACTGGAGGTACAATTAGGAAAATATTGCCCAAATTGCATCAAATCAGGGTTGGAAGGATTATTAAGTTTTAAAATGCAAATTGAGTATGGTGGGCACCTGTAGTTCTAGCTACTCTAGAGGCTGAAGCAGAAAAGCTGTGAGTTTGAGGGCAGCCTGGGAAACTTGCTGAGACCTGTCTCAAAGAAAACAAAAAACAGTCCTTGGCTGGGAATGCAGCTCATTGGTAGAACATTTGTCTCGCATGCATGAGCGGCCATGGATTCCATCCCCAGCACCACACATTCACACAAAACCCAAATTATAAATGTTTTTATTAAGGGGAATTTTAGGTACTCTTTAATATTCTTCAAAATACTGTTTTTTACAGGGTTTTTTTTTTTTGAGGGGGGGTGGTACTAGGAATTGAACCAGGGCCACTTAACCACTCAGGCACATTCCCAACCCTTTTAAGAAATATTTTATTTAGAGACAAGGTCTCACTGAGTTGGTTAGAACCTCACTAAATTCCTGAGGCTGGCTTTGAACTTGTGATCTCCTGTTTAAGCCTCCCAAGTCGACGGGATTACAGGTATGTACTGCTGTGCTGTTTTTTTACATTTTTAAATAGGTTGTTGGGGGAGGAAATGCAGATTAGTGATAGAAACTATACATAGTCCAGAAAGCCTAAAATATTTGTCATCTGGCCTATTACATAATTACATTGACTATTACATACATTTGTT